TCACATGATTCCTTTGTATTTGTGATTTTTTTTTATCTGGTTTTATAATTGTAACTATGTAAATCTCTTAGAATTCAAATCTTCTTGTATTTCTCACCTCTACTCTACGTTTCTGCTCCCAATTATTTGCTGTGCCAATATCTCTCCTGTCTTCATTACCTGCTCCACCTTTATCAATTTTCCCTACCTCACCCTTTAATAGTTCACCGAACTCTTCATCGTCCCCCCTCATCTCTTCCACTACAACTACTATTACATGTTCTTTAGCTCCACGCAAACTTAACTCCAACAAAAGCAATCCAGTTGACAAAGCCTTGCTCCCGTTTCAGCAACAAGTGTCATGTGATCACGACGTAGATGAACTTGAAGCAAAACTGGTGTCTTTGGAACAAGATCTAGGTCGTCTTCAGGCTCTTGAGGCCAAAGTAAAGAGTCAGAGCGGCCTCATCAAACAACTTGGGAACAATTTCAGAGGTTAGGAAAGAACTTGGGAACAATTTCAGAGGTTAGTGAAGAACTTTGGAACAATTTCAGACGTTAGGAAAGAACTTTGGAGCGATTTCAGAGGTTAGTGAAGAACTTTGGAACAATTTCAGAGATTAGGAAAGAACTTTGGAGCAATTTCAGAGTTTCGTGACAAACTTTGGAAGGATTAGGTTAATGTAGAACTTTAGAAAGATTTTGGAGGTTAGTGTACAGCTGAGATAGAGCTCAACGGAAGAACTTGGAATTAAGTTCCAGGGTTATTGTTCAACTGAAAAAAAAATGGCAATAACATCACAGTGTTTAACATATGTCAACAACAGACGACCAAACTAACCCAGTGATAACATTACGCGGGCTAATAAACCTCCACAACTTGTTCTTGACTTGATAATTATTACAATATGGTGTTAGGGCATCTAGGGCATCTGGGACATTTAGGGCATCTGGGGCATCTAGGGCATCTGGGGCATCTAAGGCATCTAGGGCATCTAGGGCATCTGGGGCATCTAGGGCATCTAGGGCATCTGGGCATCTGGACTCTGGCATCTAGGGCATCTGGGCATCTGGGACATCTAGGCATCTAGGGCATCTAGGGCTGGGACATCTAGGGCATCTAGGTCTAGGGCATCTGGCATCTAGGGCATCTAGGGCATCTAGGGCATCTGGGCATCTGGACATCTAGGGCATCTAGGGCATCTAGGGCATCTGGCGCAAAGCAGATCAAGTTTCAAATGCATTTAGATGGCATATTTACTGATCGATATTTTATTTAGCAACTGAATGTGATGGGGGTAAATTTACGTTACAATACATATTTGTTATTGATTGTGATTCTTTAAACTTTCTTGTATGTATTTGTATCTATGCATATATGTAAGTAGTATTTAGTTGTATTTCTTGAATTCTATAATTATCATCATTACATTAGAATCATCATAGTCATCAGAATTATCACGACTCATCTTCATCATTACATTAATCTGCATCACTATCATCATCACCATCAGCATCATCATCATCATCATCATCATTAGTCATCATCATCATCATCATCATCATCACCATCATCATCAATCATCATCATCATCATCACCATCATCACCATCATCATCATCGTCAATCATCATCATCATTGTTATCATCAATTCCACCACAATTATCACCATCATCATCCTCCCCATCGAAATTCTCATCACTATATTTACCGTTATCCCAAACACCATCAGTTGAGTGTGTGATGTTTATCATGATTATAGCATTGCTGTTAACCTTATCAGGATCATTATAATACTCACCACCATTACATTCTTACCATCATCACTACCACCATAACAGTCATCACTATTACAATCATCCCCATCACCATCACAATCAGCACCATCACAGTTATCACCATCACAATCATCACCATCACAGTTACCATCACCACAATCATCACCATCACAATCATCACCATCATCATCACAGTTACACCATCACAATCATCACCATCACAGTCCATCACAATCATCACCATCACACAGATACCACCATCACAATCATCACCATCACAGTTACCACCACCACAATCATCACCATCACCATCACAGTTACCACCACCACAATCATCACCATCACCATCACATCACCATCACACACATCACAGCACAACCACCATCACAATCATCACCATCACAGTACCATCACACAATCATCACCATCACAGTTACCACCACACAATCATCATCACAATCACCAATCACAGTTACCACCACCACATCATCACCATCACCATCACAGTTACCACCATCACAATCATCACCATCATATACCATCACCATCACAATCATCACCATCACCATCACAGTTACCACCATCACAATCATCATCACCATCACAATCATCACCATCACCATCACAGTTACCACCATCACAATCATCACCATCATACTTACCATCACCATCACAATCATCACCATCACCATCACAGTTACCACCATCACAATATTCACCATCACCATCATCACCATCAGAATCCTCATCACAATCCTCATGCCCATCACAGTCATCACAACGGTGTCTGTGCCTTGATCTTCGCTCTCTCTCTTTGAAGGTAAAACGCTTATTGAAGAAAAGAAAGAAAGAAAGAAAAAAAATCGACTTGAGTGTAAATATAATACCAAAAACAAATATCTTATATGATCGCAAAAAAAAAAAAAAAAAAAAACAATGTATTTTAGATGACAAAAAAAAGGATCTTAGATGACCACAACCCCCCCCCCCCCAAAAAAAAAAAAGACCACAAAACGAAAAATAAATAAAAAAAAATAATATATGTAATTAGATAGATAGATAGATAGATCCCTCCCCACCCCCCAAAAAAAAAAAAAAAAAAAAAATCTCTTTCCTCTCTCTCTCCAGAACGTGACTTCAGCGGCGACAAGGGCCAGAAGGGGACCAGGGGAGTCCTCGGGCACAAGGGCGAAGGAGGCGCCGCCGGAGCTCACGGTTCCTGCAGCGAGGTCTCCGACGATCCCGCCAAGGGCCCCCTAGGTCCCCGGGGCACAAGGGGGTCAAGGGCGAGCCAGGGACCCAAGGGGTGAGGAGACCCGGCTGCGCACAGGCCGTTAAGGCGATGTGTTTTCGCTTAAAGGACGATGTGGTTTTTATATATATATATATATAATATATATATATATATATATATATATATATATATATATATATATATATATATATATATGCACACACACATATTGTTACTGTTATTACCATTACCATCATTCTTCTTCTTATTATTATTATCATTATCTTTGCATTATTTTTATACTAACATTATTATTACTATTATCGTTATTATGATTTTATTTATCATTATCAACATCATCATCATCTTCATTATACTATCATTATTATCTTCATCATTTTCTTAGTCATAATTATTTTCATTATTGTTATCATTATGTTATCAGTATCATCATTATTATTATCTCTATTATTATCATTACTATTATCATCATTGTTACTATTATTATTGTTATTATTAGCATTATCGTATTATTGTGATTAATAATATTATCATTATCATCATCACCCTTTTCATCACTGTTATCATTATCATGAACATCTTCATCGTCTTTATCGTCATAATCACCATTATCATTATTATCCCTTCCACTGAACCGCCAGCACTGCAAATGTCGCGGTGATCGAGGCGAGAAAGGTCTGCCGGGAGAGGATGTCAAAGGTCATCGAGGTCAGCAGGGGTATAAAGGTCAAAAGGGCGAACGAGGAGTTGGGTCGAGGTCAAGCTTCGGTCTGGAATCCGAAGTCGAAGTGAGGAATTCCAGGTCGCAGAAGAAGACGCTGGCTACGTAGAAAAGCGGTAGTGTTTTATCTCTTTTAGTTTTGTGGTTTGGTGTGTTTACTTTCTCTCTTTTTTTGAGTGTTATTGGATGCTATCTTTTGGATATGTGAGATATGTGTTCATATATAGAGGAAGGGAATAATCTTTTTCTTTTTATCTTTTCTTCCGTAGCCATGGCGGATGATACAAATGATAAAACGTACAGCGGTAGACGTGAATGTACGAAGCAAGCAAGTTACCCCTTAAAAAGAAGAGTGTAAACGAGAAACGTCTTATAGAAAACGGAAAATTATAGGGTAGACATTTATAGAATGAATTAGATGTTTTCAACTCCTATAATTGTAACATAGAGGCAATGGCTGAAGGAAGACAAGTGTATTCTTATTCCCCAAAATCTACCTTCATCTACATTTAATATCATTTATCATGATTCTTATCCGTGCAATGCTGTAAAATGATGCTTTGGATATGTGACTGTGATGGGTTGGGTCGTGAACTGAGTAAATAATTATTTTGTTTAAAATGGAAGTGGTTTAAGTATATTTTTCTCTTTAAGATGCGTTTGATAATAGCAGAAACTATGAATAAATGAACTTTCCCCTTGTTTTTATCTTTCTTATTTACCCTTATTCTGTGATTGAAATATGAAATTATGTTTCATTGAGGAAAGATCACTGTGGTTAACCTTTACTATATTTTTGTATGTTTGTTATCGTTTTTTTTTCTTTTTTTTCGGGAGAGGGGATAATGAAAGAATTATTTGCCACAAGTATACGCTTGATGGCGAAACAACATACAATTAAGGATATCAAAAAGATCTGGTTAATCAAACATTTTCACGTTTTATTAAAGATATAACAATACATGTTAGGATGATTTTAACTGACTAAAAGTAACTTGACACTTACTGACTAAAGCACCAGTATACAGGCATGAGCGAGGAACTTAAAACTCAAACATCTCTCAAACTTACACTAAACATCTCTACTGTACAAGGAAAGATCTACTGCAGGTCGCCACGTAATATATTGTGATTAAATACGTAAAATAAGTAACCATGTTTCTCTTAATATTGTGTTATTCATTCAGAAATGATAATGTTCTCTTAAAATACTGGAGGAGAGGGTGCGGGCAGTGATACGTGCGAGACAGAGCCCGAGGGCGCGTCCTACGGGGCAAACGACGCCCGCGCTCGGCCGTCTCTTAACGCTCTTGTGGTGTTCTTGTCCTGTTCTTGTTCCGGCAACACCACGGCGGCGCCTCCGTCAGGTTATTGCTCGGCTGCGACCTTGCGCCTCCCCCCCCTGCGCCTCCCCCCCTTGCGGCCGCGGCGCCTCCTCCCTTCTGCGCGCTTCTGGTGACGCTTGGTGCGCCAGCGGCGGCGGAGGGAAACGGCCTCCTTGCGGGAAACGGCCTCTTCGTCTCCGGTTTTGGCCTCGGCGAACTCGGTGCCGTCGGCGTACTCCGTGTCGTCTCCTGTGAAGGCGTAGGCTGAAACAGAAGACGATCGGGGTTTACCACCACTGCCAAATGTGTACGTCTTTGTGCTGCGTGAGTGAGTCTCCACAGTGGCTGGGTACGTCACTACGGTGTGGGTTCTGACGCCATACTTCCTATGGCTGTTGCTTCTGTGGCTGCTACTTCTACTACTACTGCTGATACCCCCACTAGCAACAGCATTGTCTCCCCTTATAGGCCCATTATCTTCAGCATGCGAGGAGTATTTGTAGTGGTAGGTGTTAGTTCCAAACCCGGCAGTCCCCCCTTGGGTGGTACTTCCTGACGCTGTGCCAGACTCTGCCTGCCCGAGGGTGAATGGCAGAGCCTTATCATCACCTACTGTATCAGTGTGTCCTATCACATCCGAACCATAGGGATGGCCCACGTAACTGAACCTCCCCCCATCTGGGCTGCTTGGACCATCTGTAGTCTCACGGTGAATGGTGGTTGAGTTGTAAGTTCTGAAGCCACCAGTGGGCAGTGGCTGGAGATCCCCATGCGTTAGCGAGCCACCTGGCTGTCCGGAGCCACCTGAGTAATGGTAAGTGTAAGTCCTGGAGGAGGTGGAAGTAGAGTAGCCGCCACGTGCACCAGCTACATTGTTAATACCAGAGCCAGAGCCTTCAGGGAAGCCAGTTCGGTTGAAGTAGCTGAGCCTCGAGTCTGCACCTGTGCTAGAACCACCGGCATAGCCAGTGTAGCCTGTTCGGTTGAAGTAAGAAAGTGTTGAGTCTGCACCTGTTCCAGAACCACCGGCATAGCCAGTGTAACCTGTACGGTTGAAGTAATCAAGTATTGAGTCTACACCTGAGCCAGAATAACGTGTACCATTTTCTGTGTATCTTGTGCCTGTACCAGAATAATGTGTGTTTGTTCCAATACCGTAGCGTGTGTCTGTTCCATTGTATCGTATGTCTGTCCCTTGGTACCTTGTATCTGTGTTTTCCCCTGCATACCTCGAATCATTTCCAGTGTACCATGAGTCTGCATCTGTTCCTGTAATTTCTGTACCATTTCTATAGTATCTTCTAGTTGTTAAAGTATATCGTGTGTCTGTTCCAGTATGTTGGGTGCCTCGGTCAGTCCCTGTGTATCTTGTATCTTCTCCAGTGTGGCTTGTATCTCCTTCTGAGTGCTGTGCGTCTGTGCCAGTTCCCGTGTACCTCATATCAGTTCCAGTATGTCTTGTCAAAGTGTAGCGTGTGTCTGTGTCAGTGCCTGTGTATCTAGTGTCATTTTCATTGTTTCGGGTGTGTGCATCACTCCCTGTATACCCTGTGTTAGTTTCAGTGCGTCGTCTATCTGTGTCAGAACCTGTATATCTGATATCTGTACCCCTATATCTTGTATCAGTCCCAGTGTATCGAGTGTCTGCCTCAGTCCCTGTATACCTAGTACCAGTTTCAGTGTATCGTGTATCAGTACCAGTGTATCTGGTATCAGTTCCAGTGCGTCGTCTATCTGTGTCAGAACCTGTATATCTGGTGTCTGTACCCCTATATCTAGTATCTGTGCCAGTGTATCTGGTATCTGTTTCCGTGCGTTGTCTGTCTGTGTCAGATTCTGTGTATCTGGTTCCAGTTCCTGTGTATCTGGTATCTGTTTCCGTGCGCCGTCTGTCTGCATCAGATTCTGTATATCTGGTATCAGTTCCAGTGCGTCGTGTGTCTGCTTCAGTCTCTGCATCAGAGTCAGTGTACCTTGTATCAGTTCCTGTGTATCTGGTATCTGTTTCGGTGCGTCGCCTATCTGTGTCAGAACCTGTATATCTGATATCTGTACCCCTATATCTTGTATCGGTTCCAGTGTATCGAGTGTCTGCTTCAGTACCTGTATACCTAGTACCAGTTTCAGTGTATCGTGTATCAGTATCAGTGTATCTGGTATCAGTTCCAGTGCGTTGTGTGACTGTTTCAGTTCCTGTGTACCTTGTATCAGTCCCAGTGTATCGAGTGTCTGCTTCAGTCCCTGTGTACCTTGTACCAGTTTCACTGTATCTAGTGTCAGTACCAGTGTATCTGGTATCAGTTCCGGTGCGGCGTCTATCTGTGTCAGATTCTGCATATCTGGAGTCAGATCCTGTGTATCTGGTATCAGTTCCAGTGCGTTGTGTGACTGTTTCAGTTCCTGTGTACCTTGTACCAGTTTCAGTGTATCGTGTGTCAGTACCAGTGTATCTGGTATCAGTTCCAGTGCGTCGTCTATCTGTGTCAGAACCTGTATATCTGGTGTCTGTACCCCTATATCTAGTATCTGTGCCTGTGTATCTGGTATCTGTTTCAGTGTGTTGTCTATCTGTGTCAGATCCTGTATATCTGGTGTCAGTGTTTTCTATATCGGTTCCAGCATGTCGTGTGTCCGTTTCACTCTCTGGATGCCTTGTACCAGTCTCAGTGTATCTAGTATCAACACCGGTATATCTGGTATCAGTTCCAGTGCGTCGTGTATCTGCTTCAGTACCTGTATACCTTGTACCAGTTTCAGTGTATCTAGTATCAGTACCGGTGTATCTGGTATCTGCTTCAGTGTGTCGTCTATCTGAGTCAGATCCTGTATATCTAGTATCAGATCCCCTGTATGTTGTTGTATCAGTTCCAGTGCGTCGTGTGTCTGTGTTACTCCCTCTGTATCTTGTGCGAGTGCCAGCATACCGAGTGTATTGTGTAGTGGTGTCGACTCGTGCATCAGAGTCCGAACTCGTTCTCCGTTCTTCATTTCCATCATATGACAAATCTAATTCATTGCGTCCCAAATCAGATGATGAAACAGCTGATTCACTTATATCATTGCTGTTTGTATTGGCAAACTCACTTCGTCTGCTGAGCTCAAACTCGTCACTGACATGCGTTGAAGATCTGTCGTGTGTGTTTGTGTTCCCTCTGTCCCTGGAAGAGGATGAAATGCCATGGGAACCTGACTCATCTTGACGTGAGGAAGACGTGTCCTCATACACGTCATTGCCACTGTGTAGTGAGGCATCGTCATAGCCGTAAGTTGTGGAACTCCCATATGTTTCGTGGCCTGTGTCCGAGTCTTTGGCTTCACCCTCCTCAGTCCGTGTTATTTGTGTTTCAAAGTCATAAATGTGTGACGAGGACGATGAGGAAGATGATGGTGTATATGAAGAGGAGGAGTAAGAACCTTCACGTTCAGTGTAGGACCCACCACCATGTTTTTTGCCTTTGTGAGTCCTGCGTGAGGAGGCTCGGGAGGAAGACCTGGTTAGTCCTGGCTCTGTGGTAGAGTAAGGCTCCCGGACGTCATATGAGTCCTGGCCACTGTAGGAGGAGGCGGCGGAGGAGGAGGAAGAAGAAGAGGAGGAAGTAGAAGAGGAGGGAGTAGAAGAGGAGGAGGACGAAGAGGAAGAGTGGGAGGTACTAGTGGTGAGAGAATTTTGTGAGGCCTCCGATTCGCGTGCTGAGAATCCCGAGCCCTGGAGGTGAGTCTCTTCCAGTTCACCAAAGGAGGAGTCGTCAGGGGTGTTACTCCAAGTGTCATCTGGGGAGGTAGTTGGGCTAGTGGTTGTTACTCCTGAGGAGGGGCGGGTGGAGGAGGGAGAAGAGAATGCTTTTCTTCTCCTGTATCCCCTCGAGGTCTTCCTGCGTTTGGCTCTAGCGGTGGGGGAGGAGGAGGAGGAGGAGGGGAACACGGTACCTTGTGGGAAGGCAGGCAGGCTGTCATCCCTGCCTTCGTCCCCGTAAGTCTCCGCTAAGGTCACTGTCTTCTTGTAGGTCCTGCGCGAGGACTTGCTCGACCCCCAGGAAGAGGACGAGGAGGAGGACGACGACGAGGAATAAGAGCTTCTCCCAGATCCCCGGGAGGACGAGGAGGAGCTGGTCGTCTTGTAGGTAGAGTAGGTGTACGAGTTCTCCGGAAGGAAGACCTTGTCGATCACGTGGATGACGCCCTTGGCGCTCATGTGGGAGGAGGTGACGGAGGCGCCGTTGACCTGCAAGGGAAGGAAAGGCTCACGTAGGGGGGCTTCGTTGGGCGCCTTGGTTGCCGCTTATATATATAATATATATATATATATATATATATATATATATATATATATATATATATATTATATATATAATGTATGTATGTATATACATAAATACATGTATACATGTATTATTATTATCATCGTCAGCTTTATCATCATTACAATCAACATTTTATTATCACCATTATTATTGTAATTATCATCGTTTTCAATATTACCATCACAATCAGGCACACACACACACACACACACTCACACACTTACTCACTCACACACACCACACACACACACACACACACACACTCACACATTCACCCACCCACCCACACACACACTCATACACACACACTCTCACACACACCCACACACACACACACACACACCCAACCAAACCCACCCACCCACCCACCCACCCACCACCCACCACCCCCCACCCACCACACACACACACACACCCACACCCAACCACCTACCACCCACCCACCCACACACACCCAAACTCACCCATACCCAAACACACACACACACATACACTCATTCCCACCCACCCACACACACCCACATCCAACTCACCGTGATGCTATTCGCCGACGTCTTCTTGATGTCGAAGGGGCCCGCCATGCCCTCGACGGTGTAGACAAGGTTTTCCTCGAAGGACGTAGCCGGGAACATGTTGACGGCGATGTGGCTCTTGATCAGCTCCATGAGGTAGCGGTCATCCTGCTTGATCTTGGAAAGGGTTGCCTGGCGGAGGAGGAGAGAGGGGGTTAGGGTGGGGAGGGTGGTGATGGTGGATGGAGGTGATGGGGAGGGTGGTGATGGGGGGAAGGGTGGTGATGGGGATGGAGGTGATGGGGGGGGGTGGTGATGGGGGGTGGAGGTGATGTTGGTGGATGGTGATGCTTTGGGTGGTGGTCGTGATATAAGGAATATTGATAATAATGATGATGATGGCGATGGAAGAATAAGATGGAGGGTAGATCGTGATGATAATGATTGTTATGGATATGAATAAGATACTAATCATGATGATGAATATGATGAATAGGAAGATAGGGATAATACTAAACAAAAAAAATAAAGTTGATAAACCGAACGACTACAAACCACCACAGATACGATTCTTAGCTTAGTTTGTTACACGTTTTTTTGACGAAGATTACAAAACCGACTCGGATATAACTCAACTTATTATATACGATTCTTAGCTTTGTCTACCAGGCCCCAACCAGCCCCCCTATATACGATTCTTAGCTTTGTCTTCCAGGCCCCAACCAGCCCCCTATATACGATTCTTAGCTTTGTCTCCAGGCCCCAACCAGCCCCCCTATATACGATTTTAGCTTTGTCTTCCAGGCCCCAACCAGCCCCCTATATACGATTCTTAGCTTTGTCTACCAGGCCCAACCAGCCCCCCTATAAACGATTCTTAGCTTTGTCTACCAGGCCCCAACCAGCCCCCTGTATACGATTCTTAGCTTTGTCTACCAGGCCCCAACCAGCTCCCACGATTCTTAGCTTTGTCTACCAGCCCCAACCAGCCTCCCTATAAACGATTCTTAGCTTTGTCTTCCAGGCCCCAACCAGCCTCCCTATATACGATTCTTAGCTTTGTCTTCCAGGCCCCAACCAGGCTCCTATAAACGATTCTTAGCTTTGTCTACCAGGCCCCAACCAGCCCCTATATACGATTCTTAGCTTTGTCTCCAGGCCCCAACCAGCCTCCCTATAAACGATTCTTAGCTTTGTCTACCAGGCCCCAACCAGCCCCTATATACGATTCTTAGCTTTGTCTCCAGGCCCCAACCAGCCCCCTATAAACGATTCTTAGCTTTGTCTACCAGGCCCCAACCAGCCTCCCTATAAACGATTCTTAGCTTTGTCTTCCAGGCCCCAACCAGCCCCCTATATACGATTCTTAGCTTTGTCTACCAGGCCCCAACCAGCCTCCCTATAAACGAGCTTTGTCTTAGCTCTTGTCTACCAGGCCCCAACCAGCCTCCCTATATCCGATTCTTAGCTTTGTCTACCAGGCCCCAACCAGCCTCCCTATAAACGATTCTTAGCTTTGTCTCCAGGCCCCAACCAGCCTCCCTATAAACGATTCTTAGCTTTGTCTACCAGGCCCCAACCAGCCTCCCGATTCTTAGCTTTGTCTTCCAGGCCCAACCACCCCCTATATACGATTCTTAGCTTTGTCTACCAGGCCCCAACAGCCGATTCTTAGCTTTGAACCAGCCCCTATAAACGATTCTTAGCTTTGTCTACCAGGCCCCAACCAGCCCCCTATATGATTCTAGCTTTGTCTACCAGGCCCCAACCAGCCTCCCTATAAACGATTCTTAGCTTTGTCTACCAGGCCCCAACCAGCCTCCTATAACGATTCTTAGCTTTGTCTTCCAGGCCCCAACCAGCCCCTATAACGATTCTTAGCTTTGTCTACCAGGCCCAACCAGCCTCCCTATAAACGATTCCAGCTTTGTCTCCAGGCCCCAACCAGCCTCCCTATAACGATTCTTAGCTTTGTCTACCAGGCCCAACCAGCCCCCCTATAAACGATTCTTAGCTTTGTCTACCAGGCCCCAACCCTCCCTATAAACGATTCTTAGCTTTGTCTACCAGGCCCCAACCAGCCTCCCTATAACGATTCTTAGCTTTGTCTACCAGCCAACCAGCCCGATTCTTAGCTTTGTCTTCCCTATATACGATTCTTAGCTTTGTCTACCAGGCCCCAACCAGCCTCCCTATAACGATTCTTAGCTTTGTCTACCAGCCCCAACCAGCCTCCTATACGATTCTTAGCTTTGCAGGGCCTTAGCTTTGTCTACCAGGCCAACCAGCCTCCCTATAAACGATTCTTAGCTTTGTCTTCCAGGCCCAACCAGCCTCCCTATAAACGATTCTTAGCTTTGTCTACCAGGCCCCAACCAGCTCCCTATATATTCTTAGCTTTGTCTTCTATGATTCTTAGCTTTGTCTACCAGGCCCCAACCAGCCCCTATACGATTCTTAGCTTTGTCTACCAGGCCCCAACCAGCCTCCCTATAACGATTCTTAGCTTTGTCTACCAGGCCCCAACCAGCTAACGATTCTTAGCTTTGTCTACCAGGCCCCAACCAGCCTCCCTATAAACGATTCTTAGCTTTGTCTACCAGGCCCAACCAGCCCCCTATATACGATTCTTAGCTTTGTCTACCAGGCCCCAACCAGCTCCCTATAAACGATTCTTAGCTTTGTCTACCAGGCCCAACCAGCCTCCTATATACGATTCTTAGCTTTGTCTACCAGGCCCCAACCAGCCCCCTATACACGATTCTTAGCTTTGTCTACCAGGCCCCAACCAGCCTCCCTATAAACGATTCTTAGCTTTGTCTTCCAGGCCCCAACCAGCCTCCCTATATACGATTCTTAGCTTTGTCTTCCAGGCCCCAACCAGCCTCCCTATACGATTCTTAGCTTGTCTACCAGGCCCCAACCAGCCTCCCTATATACGATTCTTAGCTTTGTCTACCAGGCCCCAACCAGCCCCCCTATTACGGTTCTTAGCTTTGTCTACCAGGCCCAACCAGGACGATTCTTAGCTTTGTCTACCAGGCCCCAACCAGCCCCCCTATATACGTTCTTAGCTTTGTCTACCAGGCCCCAACCAGGCTCCCTGTATACGATTCTTAGCTTTGTCTTCCAGGCCCCAACCAGCCTCCCTATATACGATTCTTAGCTTTGTCTACCAGGCCCCAACCAGCCCCTATAAACGATTCTTAGCTTTGTCTACCAGGCCCCAACCAGCCTCCCTATAAACGATTCTTAGCTTTGTCTACCAGGCCCAACCAGCCTCCCTATATACGATTCTTAGCTTTGTCTACCAGGCCCCAACCAGCCTCCCTATAAACGATTCTTAGCTTTGTCTACCAGGCCCCAACCAGCCTCCCTATAAACGATTCTTAGCTTTGTCTACCAGGCCCAACCAGCCTCCCTATAAACGATTCTTAGCTTTTCTCTACCAGGCCCCAACCAGCCTCCCTATAAACGATTCTTAGCTTTCTCTACCAGGCCCCAACCAGCCCCCTATAACGATTCTTAGCTTTGTCTTCCAGGCCCCAACCAGCTCCCTACGATTCTTAGCTTTGTCTACCAGGCCCCAACCAGCCTCCCTATAAACGATTCTTAGCTTGTCTACCAGGCCCCAACCACCCTATTACGATTCTTAGCTTTGTCTACCAGGCCCAACCAGCCCCCCTATATACGATTCTTAGCTTTGTCTACCAGGCCCCAACCAGCCTCCCTATAACGATTCTTAGCTTTGTCTACCAGGCCCCAACCAGCCCCCTATAACGATTCTTAGCTTTGTCTACCAGGCCCCAACCAGCCTCCCTATATACGATTCTTAGCTTTGTCTACCAGGCCCAACCAGCCTCCCTATATACGATTCTTAGCTTGTCTACCAGGCCCCAACCAGCCCTCCCTATATACGATTCTTAGCTTTGTCTACCAGGCCCCAACCAGCCTCCCTATATACGATTCTTAGCTTTGTCTACCAGGCCCCAACCAGCCTCCCTATAAACGATTCTTAGCTTTGTCTACCAGGCCCCAACCAGCCTCCCTATATACGATATTCGCTTGTCTACCAGGCCCCAACCAGCCTCCTATATACGATTCTTAGCTTTGTCTACCAGGCCCCCACCAGCCTCCTATATACGATTCTTAGCTTTGTCTACCAGGCCCCAACCAGCCTCCCTATCTACGATTCTTAGCTTTGTCTACCAGGCCCAACCACCCCTATACACGATTCTTATCTTTGTCTACCAGGCCCCAACCAGCCTCCCTATATACGATTCTTAGCTTTGTCTTCCAGGCCCCAACCAGCCTCCCTATAAACGATTCTTAGCTTTGTCTACCAGGCCCCAACCAGGCTCCCTATATCCGATTCTTAGCTTTGTCTACCAGGCCCCAACCAGCCTCCCTATATACGATTCTTAGCTTTGTCTACCAGGCCCCAACCAGCCTCCCTATATACGAATCTTAGCTTTGTCTACCAGGCCCCAACCGCTCCCTATAACGATTCTTAGCTTTGTCTACCAGGCCCCAACCAGCCCCCCTATATACGATTCTTAGCTTTGTCTACCAGGCCCCAACCAGCCTCCCTATATTCGATTCTTAGCTTTGTCTTCCAGGCCCCAACCAGCCCCCTATAAACGATTCTTAGCTTTGTCTACCAGGCCCCAACCAGCCCCTATAAACGATTCTTAGCTTTGTCTCTACGATTCTTAGCTTTGTCTACCAGGCCCCAACCAGCCTCCCTATAAACGATTCTTAGCTTTGTCTTCCAGGCCCCAACCAGCCCCCCTATAAACGATTCTTAGCTTTGTCTACCAGGCCCCAACCAGCCCCCTATATACGATTCTTAGCTTTGTCTACCAGGCCCCAACCAGCCTCCCTATAAACGATTCTTAGCTTTGTCTACCAGGCCCCAACCAGCCCCCCTATAAACGATTCTTAGCTTCGTCTACCAGGCCCCAACCAGCCTCCCAACCCAAAACAAACCACCAAAGGCAACTGAACCTCGACCGTCTCTCCCTCCTTACCGCATTGAGCTGTCTGAAGGCCGAGTCAGGAGGGACGAAGAAGGTGTAGAAGACCTCGTCGCCGGGGCCCAGGCTCAGCACCGAGTTCTCCTGCGACGACGCCTGCTGCAGCGCCTCCAGGAAGATGCTGTGGGGGGGAGAGAGTCGGTGAGGGCGGCGTCGTGGGGGATCGAAGGAGTGTTAAGGTAGGTTGACATCCATTTTGAGCTTGGGGCGTGGCACGGGGTGTCGCGGTGTGGGGCCGCGCCAATGTGTGCCCAGGCCACAAAACAAGCTCAAAATGCGTGTGTCAACCTACCTTTAGGAGATAGAATAAACAAACAAACACACAAAGGAAGCGAAAACAAAAATCTCGACACCCCCTCAGCGGCGACGACCACGTACTTGAACCTCTGCTGCGGGATGACCCTCAGAATGTCCTGCACCGACTGGTTCGACGGCACGATCACCTTGTTGATGATGTGGATGACGCCGTTCTGGGCCTCGATGTCCTTCTCGGTGATCTTGGCGTCCTCCACCCCAAGGGCGCGGCGCCACACCTGCAGGCGGACGGGGTTCTCCTCGTCCAGGGACATGATGGCCTGAGGGGGAGGGGAACAGGGTTAGGGGCGTGGTGGAGGGCGGCGAGGGCGTTGGGGAGCTTCGTTTGGGGTTCGGGGCTTTCTGGTGGGCGTGGATTTGTGGATTTCTATTTATATCTATTGACTGTATGCGTATTTGTGTCTGTATATGTGCCTGTCTATACGTATACATACACTTACGAACACAGATAGACATGTGTGTGTGTGTGTAAGTGTGTGTATGTGTAGACGTGTGTGTGAGTGTGTGCGCATGTGTGTTTGAGTGTTTGTGTGAGCATGAGTATGAGTATGAATATGAATGCGATTGCGTGTGCTTATTCGTGCGTGCGTGTGCGTATGCTTACTCGCGCACATATATGCAATCATACCTACAAATCAGTACAGACTTTCTTGCGTTGCGTCCCACCTGGTTATCAGTGATGGCGTTGGTCAGGTGTCTGCCATACGCCCCGTGGAAGCGCACCAGCTGACCGGCCAGCTCGAGGTCACGGCGGGCGGCGCTCAGCACCTCGGAGTCCAGGGCTTTTGGGGGGAAGGAGAGACAAGGATGATGCTTAATTCTCGTGTACAAGAAGGGGTGGTATTTTAGCTTATTTCGGAGGGGCAGCTTTTAGTGTGGGATGCATTTGTATTTCATTATAAAAAGTAAAGACACACCTTCTTACGAACTTAATTTTAAAATAGAAAATAAGGAGATGATGAAGAAGAAGGAAAAGAAGAAGAAGAAGAAAAAGAAAAAAGGAGAAGAGGAAGAAAGAAAAAGAAAAAGAAGAGAAGAAGAAAAAGAAACAGAAGAAGAAAAAGGAGAAGAAAGAAAAAGAAAGAAGAAGAAAAAGGAGAAAAAGAAGCAGAAGAAGAAAAAGGAGAAGAAGAGGACGAAGAAAGAAAAAGAAAAGGAAGAGGAAGAAGAAAAAGAAAAAATAGAAAAAGAGAAAAGACGAAGAAAAACAGAAAAAAGCAAAAGCAAAAAAAAGGTAGAACAACAACAACAAAAAACCACTTACAATACCAGGCGGCCTCATCGGGCACGAAGAAGGTGTAGTCCCCGGTGTGGCTGAGCGTCTCCTCCAGCCCCGCCTTCTTCACGAGCTCGACGAAGGTGAAGAGGTTGCGGCTCTCGGCGAGTTCGATGAGGTTCTTGGCTGCCGGGGGGGGGGAGGGGTTAGGGGGGTGGGGTGAAGGGGTGAGTTTGTTGTGCGTGTGTGTGTGGTGTGTGTGTGTGTGTGTGTGTGTGTGTGTGTGTGTGTGTGTGTGTGTGTGTGTGTGTGTGTGTGTGTGTGTGTGTGTGTGTGTGTGTGTGTGTGTGTGTGTGTGTGTGTGTGTGTGTGTGTGTGTGGTGTGTGTGTGTGTGTGTGTGGTGTGTGTGTGTGTGTGTGTGTGTGTGTGTGTGTGTGTGTGTGTGTGTGTGTGTGTGTGTGTGTGTGTGTGTGTGTGTGTGTGTGTGTGTGGTGTGTGTGTGTGTGTGTGTGTGTGTGTGTGTGTGTGTGTTGTGTGTGTGTGTGTGTGTGTGTGTGTGTGTGTGTGTGTGTGTGTGTGTGGTGTGTTGTGTTGTGTGTGTGTGTGTGTGTGTGTGCGTGTGTGTGTGTGTGTGTGTGTGTGTGTGTGTGTGTGTGTGGTGTGTGTGTGTGTGTGTGTGTGTGTGTGTGTGTGTGTGTGTGTGTGTGTGTGTGTGTGTGTGTGTGTGTGTGTGTGTGTGTGTGTGTGTGGTGTGTGTGTGTGTGTGCGTGTGTGTGTGTGTGTGTGTGTGTGTGTGTGTGTGTGTGTGTGGTGTGTGTGTGTGTGTGTGTGTGTGTGTGTGTGTGTGTGTGTGTGTGTGTGTGCGTGTGCGTGTGCGTGTGTGTGTGTGTGTGTGTGTGTGTGTGTGTGTGTGTGTGTGTGTGTGTGTGTGTGTGTGTGTGTGTGTGTGTGTGTGTGTGTGGTGTGTGTGTGTGTGTGTGTGTATGTGTGTGCGTTGAATCTATTCCCTGATGATACACTGCTTTGTTGAAACTAATCTGGGAAATACGAGTACAACAGATTTTCCGAAATAGTGAAGTTTAGAATTCAAAAAAAAAAATGATGCACGGACTACACGTCTGTATTGCTTTCATAATAAAGCGGTGTTCGTAATACAGCAGCATCTACTATTCTATTGCAAATAGGATAAATACAAATAATAAGGATAATGACATTTTAATCAGTTTCCCGAATTATCGAAGCTGCCGAACCGTTGATTGCCGGATTAATGATATATCTTTATAGTAAAATATACTTACATGGTTAAAGAATCTAAGCTTATACAGAAAGGTATACTCGGTTCGGGAAGCTAAATCTACACAGAAGAATACACTTACAAAGTTGAAAAGCTAAATCAACAAAGAAAAATACACCTAAAGGTTTTGAAAAGATAAACAGAATCCTAGCAATGCAAGCAATCCATTTCGCTTTATCGTGACGCCTTTGGCCCTCTTATCCATATCTTTAGGAATTACTTCTACATAATCAATCCATAAAACTAATTTCCAACCTATAAAAAAGGAAAAAATCACTAATTCCCAACACCCTTAAGAAGATAATAATAAAAAACAAAAAGACATGAAAACAAAAGCCTAACGCCATGCGCACGAACACCGAGCGCGCGAAAAAGCAAAAAAACATGAACGCAACGCCAAGCGCAACTTCCCGAGCGCTCTCGCCTCACCTCGGTCGGGCAGAAGCACGTCGTCGATCATGTGGATGATGCCGTTCTTGCCGAGGTTGAAGTTGCCGCGAAGTTTGGTGTTCTCGACGTAGGCTCCCGCGATGTCGCAGTTGAAGCTGACCTTGCTGTCGAGCATCGTGCGGACGCGGTGCTCGCCCGTGATGGCGGACTCGCAGATCACGTGCGGGATCACGTGGTTCTGCAGCAGAGCTAGAAGTACGTGGGAAGAGGTTCGTGATGAGGGGGGGGAGGGAGAGATTTTTTTGAGGGGGGGAGGGAGGGGGAGGGAAGGAAGGAGAGTGAGGGGGAGGGAGGGAAGAGAGAGAGGAGAAGCGTGAAGGGGGAAAAGAGAGGGAGAGAGGGAGAAAAGAGAGAGAGAGGAGGGAGGGAGGAAGTGAGAAGAGAGGGGAGGAGGGGAAGACGGAAAAAATGGCAGGAGGAGAGGGAGAGAGGAAGAGAGGGTAAGAAGGGAGAAGAAAGTGGTGGAGAGATTTAAGGGGGAAAAGAGGAGAGAGGAGAGACAGGGTTCTCTGTCTGGGGGAAGGGTGTAGTGAGGGAGGGGAAGGAGATTTTTTTCTGTTGGGGGAAGGGGGAGGGAGGGAGAGGTAGGTATGTTGGGGGGGGGGAAGGAAAAGAGGGAGAGAAAGGGAAATTTTTTGTACTGGAAAAGGGGAGGGAGAGGAAAGGAGTGGGAGAGAATTTTCCGTGGAGGATAAAAATGAAGGATGAAGAAGAGGTATATCTGTAGAGGGAAGAGGAAGAGAAGGAGAGGGAGAGGGAAATCTTCATTGGAGGGAGTGGGAAATAGAGAGAGGAGAGTACAGTGTGGAATGACTTAATTAGAAGAAAAAAGAAGGAGGGATTCGTTATATACATTAGGAAAAGTAATTTACGTAAGAGAGGGGGAGAGAGGGAAGGGAAGGGGAGGGCGTCTTGGTCTGAAATAGTTAAAGGGGGGTTGGGGGATCGCAGCCGAAAGACAAATCAAGGAATAGATAGGGGTTGATTTCATACTCGACTTAGACGTGACAAACAACCCACTTTATGAAAAGCTGTTGACGTTTCCATTTTTTTCGTGATAAGAAATGTCATTGAAAACACACCACAAATGAGGTTTTCTGAATAAATAATACTGAATCTTGTGAACGTGAATAGAATGAGAAAGAAAATAAACATAGACTCTTAAGCCCTCCAGCCAAGAATAACAGCAAAGAATATGAACAACAAAATAACATCAATTGAGTTTTAACACTCTGAACTAGATCATAATGGAACTAACAACTCCACATCAAAGCATATGAAGAACAAAAGAACATCAATTGAGTTCCTTTAGCACTCTGAACATAATTCATAATGGAACTAACAACTCCTTAAATTCAAAATCAAGTTCCATGGCATCTTTATTTAACACAATGAACAGGAACAGTTGGAGAATAGATTATAGATTATAGATTATAGATCAAGGTTGATGAGTTGCATGATTCTATAGAAGGCCCCACAAATAATGGAAATATTGCATAAAATTTGGTTTAAATGCGAGATAGATTTTGTTGTTCTTTTTGATATCATTACTTAATTATGCTGAACACACGCGAAAGAATATCTATATTTACTCTTTACTTCCCCTTCCCTCTCCCGGATTCCCTTCCCCAATCACTAAACCTATCACCTTCTCTCTCTCTCTCTCTCTCACTCTCTCTCTCTCTCTCTCTCTCTCTCTCTCTCTCTCTCTCTCTCTCTCTCTCTCTCCTCTCTCTCTCTCTCTCTCTCTCTCTCCTCCCTCTCTCCATCCCCCTCTTCTCCATCCCCCACCCCTCCCTCTCATCCACCCACCCTCCCTCTCTGCATCCGCCCCCCTCCCTCCATCCCCACCTTCCCTCTCTCCATCCACCCCATCCCCCTCCATCACACTAACCCATCCTGGCTTCCCGGTCGTTGATGATCTTCTCCCGCCTGGATTCCGGAAGCTTCTGGAAGGCTTCGTCGGACGGGGCCAAGATGGTGATGGATTCCTGCATCGTCCTGAGCACGTTGATGTAGCCGCTCTTCTCCAGGATGTCGGCGAGCACGGAGAAACGTCCGTCCTGGAACAAACGTTTGGAGGTGGAGGCGAAACGTTTGGAGGTGGAGGGCGGGGCGAAACGTTTGGAGGTGGAGGGCGTGGCGAAAACGTTTGTTTGTTTGGTTTGTGGGGGCGTGGGAGGGCGTCGGAACGTTTTGTTGTTTTTTTTGTTTGTTTTGTTGTCGTGAGAGGATATAAAATTTGGCTAAGGAAGACCTAGAGTTTGTAAGATTGGTAATTTGTTGAGGAAATCGTAATGAGACTGAAATAAGTTTTGGTTTATCTCAACCTAAAAATACGTCTTGAGCAAACTTCTCAAATAAAACTATGAGAATTATATGTATATCTATCTATCTGTCTATATATCCATCTATCCAGATATATCTTATATCCATCTATACACAACAATTTATGTTTTATATCCACCTGTAACCCATCCAACCCTTTATATATCTATCTACCTATATATAAAGGGTTGGATGGGTGTATAGGTGGATATAAAACATAAATCATGGATATAAAACATAAACATCATTAAGCGACGTTATTCTTTCCTCCTGCAGTCTGGTATCTACATGTACTAAAAAGTTGTATCAGTCTTACGTAAACACAGTCATCGGGAAGCAAATATATTGAAAACAAAGGCTCTTTAAACCTCCCTGTCTAAGATTTAGAGAGGCCATGGACCATTCGTCTCTCTGTCTGATAAGCCACACGTGCAACTTTGACTCACGTTGAGCACCATGTCTGCAACGTTCTGCAAGATGCCCACGGAAGGATCCAGAACGTTGTCGATGACGTGGACGATGCCGTTGGTGGCCTGCTGGTCCTTCCTGATGAGGAGAGCGCAGTTGATGGTCGTCATCTGAGGAGGAGGGAGGTCGGTTCTTAAGGAGGTCGGTTCTCAAAAAAAAAAAAAAAAAAAAAAAAAAAAAAAAAACGTTTCTAAAGTTGCATGGATAGATATATGATTGTTTTTTATTTCTTATTAAAGTCGTATAGACATTATTGTAAGTTATTATCAGGGTTATGTGGATAAGTATAACAATAATAAATAGTTTTCAAATTTGACTGCTTTCTTTGCTTAGAGGTTTGTGAACAAAATTTAATCCTTCATATATTCTTAGAGTATGGCATCCTTGCTGCGTCTTAGAAGAACTCAATAAAATTTTAAAATTCTGATCATATTAATACGTCTATGCTATGGATTAGCGTAGACAAAAATAAAAACAACATAATCTTAACACAGCGTAACTTAACCTAGCACAAACAGTAGCACAGCATAATCTTACCTCACATAAACATAACACAACATAACCTTAAACAGCATAGACACAATACAACATAAACAGCGTAACGTTACTTAATATACACACAACACAGACCTACCAAACATACAGACAGCATAACTGAACAGCATAACTTCACTCAACATATGCGCAACACACTACGATACAGCATAACCATACCTAACACAAACACAATACAGGCACAGCATAACGTCACCCAACATAGACACATCACAGCACAAATGCAGCATAACCTAGCCTAACATAAACGTTACAACATACCACATAATGAATTCATCCAACATAGACACATCATGACACAAACACAGCATAACCGAACACAACACAGATACACTGCAACACAAATACAGCATAAACTCACCCGACATAGACACACCACAACATAACTCAGCATAACCTAACCCAATGAACCATACCGCAACATAACATAAACTACCAAAACACAACAAAACCTCCACCCACATAGATACATCACAACATAACCCACACCAAGCCAACCATATCAGAACACAACACAATATAAACTCCCCAACATATCCACACCACAACATAGCCCAACACAACCCACCCCAACCCAACCTACCCCCATCACAACACACCACAACCCAACACATACACCACAACATCCCAAACAACCCACCCCAACACCCCCCATCACAACACACCACAACCTCCCCAACACATCCACACCACAACATAGACATCCACACACAACATAGCCCAACACAACCCACCCCAAGCAACACACCACCAACACATCCACACCACAACATAGACATCACAACACACCACAACCCAACACATCCACATCCCAACACATCACAACATCAACCATATCAGAAACACAACAAACCTCCCAACACATCCACATCCCAACACACCCCAACACAACCCACCCCAACCCAACCTACCCCCATCACAACACACCACAAACCTCCCCAACACATCCGCATCCCAACACACCC